CCCCTTCCTGTCTGCTCCCCCCGCCCGGGGTCTCTGATGGTCCCTCTTCCTGTCTGCCCCCCCAGAAGTGTGATGTTCCCCCTTCCTGTCTGCTCCCCCCCAGACGTCTGATGGGTCCCCTTCCTGTCTGCTCCCCCCCAGACGTCTCTGAGGACAGGTTCTCCATGCTCAGGGCTGACTCCACGTGCCTCCTTCACTAAATTTTATTTTCTTCGCAAGTGAGCCGTTTCACCTGCAGTGCTTTCCACGCTTGCCCTGAGTGTGTGTTTCCTGTGAGATTCACGGGTAAAAAGTGGTGAAACCAAAGGCTGTGTGAGCCCAGCCCCGGGCGTCCTGCGGCCCCTGCCCTGTCCTTGTGGGCCTGGGCTTCCGCCTGTGACACCACACGTGTTGGTTCAGTGCACGTCCCGCCCCGGCCTGCGCGAGGCCAAGTCCAGCACAGGGAGCGGCGCAGCCGGAGACGCAGGAGCAGGAGAGAGGCCCCCAGGGCCCCCACGCCGGGCGCAGACCTGGTGACCAGGAGGAGCGAGCGGAGGGCGGATGGTCCCTCCAGTGGCGCCTGCACTTGGTGGCCCAAACGACCCGAAAGGCTGTGAACGACTCCATGGCACAGTGTCCCCTCCCGTGTAATGGCGGCTCTGCTCCCGTCTTGCCGGAACACGGAGGGTAGTGTCCTGCAGCCTGGTCACGGGGCGTGGGGGACTGAGACGTGCGTCTACAGCTGCGGGTGCCGGGTATTGGCTGGAGTCTCGGGTGCTGCCTTAGTGGCCCGGCTGTCGCCCGTTTCCTGCTGGTTTCTTTCAGTTGTTGTCACACAGCTCACCAGCCGCCCTTCTAATCTCTCCCTTTTCCTCCCGCTCCTCCGACCTGTCCTCCATCTCCAGGACTGCCGCCTCGCTTTGCTGTTCCAGGTACTCACACCCCCCGCCCTGCTCGGGACTAACCCTGCGCCTGCCCCGCCGAGGGCACCCGCACCCATCGCCGCCCCGCCTGCCGGGTGCACGGCCTGGCTTAGCTCAGCCCCAGGGAAGGGTTTGCATGAGATGCCCGAGGCCTGCACTTGAGCGCCAGGCTCAGCCTTAGGGGAAGCTCCAGACGCGTCCAGTAGCATTTCCTTCAGGTAAAGGCACCCTCAGCACCTGGTGGTCACGGCCCAGCGAATGCGCCGGCTGTAACGTTCAGGCCACTGGTTCTCTCAAGTTCCTCAGTCCTTTCACACAAAACCCACTTTTCCTGTTAAGTACAATCCCTTAGTGTGGGCATGGTCAGGGGGCGTGGCCTGGTGGGGGGCATGGGCGTGGTCCAGGGGAGGGTGGGCATGGTCAGGGGGCATGGGAAAGGTCATGGGTAGCATGGGCGTGGTCCAGGGGGCGGGGGTGTGACCCAGGGGAGCGTGGGCATGGTCATGGGGAACATGGGCGTGGTCATGGTCATGGGGAGTGTGGGCGTGGTCATGGGGAGTGTGGGCGTGGTCAGGGGTGTGGGCGTGGCCCAGGGGAGCTTGGGCATGGGCGTGGGGAGCATGAGTGTAGTTGGTAGCATGGCTGGAGGAGGGCGGCAGAAACCTGGGGTCTCCTTCTCTGAGCAGGGCCAGCTCAGACCAGCTCGGGGTTCGCTGTCTGTCCAGCACGGGAGCGGGAGGTTTCTGTGCTGAGACCACGCGTGTGCCGGTGTCATGCTCTCATGGCTTAGAGACGGGTTTGGGATGCTTAGGCAGCTGATAACCGACCTGTGTCACCCTCGCCTCCTCCCGCAGGACTCGGGACACCCCTGCACGGCCACCGACCCCGACAGCTGCTTCACGCCCGTGTCCCCACAGCACTTCATCGACCTCTTCAAGTTCTGAGGCCCTTCCCCACGGCGTGTCAGCCTCCGAGCCCAGCATCCGCTGGCCGCTTCCTGCTCCGGCGGGGACGCCGCGCTGTGTGTCCACCTTTGAAGGGTCAGGGAGCCCAGTGAAGTCATTTCTGCCTCCTTCTCTAAGAACTTATTTTCTTCTGAGCATTGGAAAATTTGCAACTTTGCCTCCTAACAAATACGGTTCCGAAGGGCCCTGGGTTTTGAGCGCCACACGCTGAGCTGAGCTGACACCAATCAGTGACACGCTTGGTGGTCACTTGTCTCTAAGTTTTGCGTAGGGGGGGAGAGGGGGGACCAGCATTCCGTGTAAATACCTTGTGCAGAATATTTATTTTTCTTAAGATGTATTTTAACCACACTGGTTGTGACCAAATGACCTAGGGGAATATTTGTGTGTCCGTCCTGGTGTTTGGCGATTGAGTTGTGAATTGTGCAAAGTGTCTGTGACCAGCAGAGGTGTGAGTGGCGTGGCCGCCCTCCAGCCACAGCCCCGGCTACGCACGTGCTACCCTCGGACAGACGCCGGCGTCTGGTGTCCCTGGCGCGCTGGAGGGACGGACGACATGACGAGCGGCAATGGGGCAGCCTGACGTCTCTGTGGAAACTGCTTTACAGACAATAAACCATGTTTACTGACACTCCTCAGGCTCGCCCTGACAGAACTGTAGTGAGTGGTTTCATACTTACCTATGCCTTTGAAACCTTTAAAAGATGGTTTTATTTTAAAAATAATGCAAGTCCATTTTAGAAAACGTGTATAGGTGTATAGCATAAAGTCACCTGTAACCTGGCTGCCCAGCGGCCAGGGTGAGCATTGCCGCGTGTTCATCTGTGAGTCATGAGGGTCGGGGGCCGGCAGCATCATCTCTCCCTCCCTCCTTCAAACATACACCGAGAGACAGTGCATGTCAGGGCAGCGCCCGGCCCTCACCCTGGGAGTCCACGTCTCCGTGGAACAGTGACTCAGATTGGACCGCCTCGGGTTGCTGCACTCTGGCCCCCCTGGCCCCCCTGGTCCCCTGGCCCCCTGGCTCTCAGGCTTCCGCTGCTGAGCTTTGAAGGCTCAGGGATCAGGGTTCCTGGCGCCTGTGGCCACCGCCACCGCCAGGGAAGCCCTTTGAAGCCCTGGTCTCTAAAGAAACAAATCGTCCTCAAAACCTCAAGGCCAGTGGCCTCTCCTGTCACTCCCTGCCTGGTTGGTCAGCTTTCTTGAAAACATTACATTATCTAAGCTGCCTTGTTAAAACTGACTTCGGGGGGGGGAGGGGGGAGAGTGCGGGGGAGAGAGAAGTATCAGTGAAGCGGATCATTGGTCGCTGCCTCCTGGACGCGCACGCACGCACACACACACCCGGGGTCGAGCCCGCAGCATGTGCCCTGGTGGGCATCAGCCATGACCTCCCGGTTCATAGGTCCACGCTCAACCACTGAGCCACGCCTGGTGGGCTGAAATAGTATTTATTTTAAATGTATTTTTATTATGGAGAGAGGAAGAGAGAAACGGAAACATCAATGATGAGAGTTGTTGACCACTGCCTCCTGCACGCCGACACGGTACTTTTCATTGAAATAGCTGTCCCAGCCCCTCAGAGCTGCAGGCAGAGGGCGGAGGGCAAAGCGCGCCGCAGGCTCCTCCTGGGGAATCGGAGCTCCTGCCCGGGAGCCCCGGGGTCCCCACAGGCTCTCCCCGCTTCAGGGACCAGGACGCGACTCCAGGGGCAGCTCGGCCAGCAACCTGGGCAGCTGGCAGGGGTGGGAAGTCAGTGCCCAGAGGAGGCTGCTCGGGGAGGCATCTCTGGTTGGCACCTCCTGCAGCTTTCCTAGCTCCCACTCCTTTCACAGGGGCACACTAGGTTCCTATGATGCCACTGTTGTCATGGAAACGGCTCCACAACTCTCCAATCCCCACAGGGTCCACCTCCCTACCCCAGCTCCGCCCCGGCCGGGGATGTGCTTGTTTCTCAGGCAGAGCTGGGAGGCAACTCAGTCTCCAACTCACGGAACAACTGATTCAAAACCCCGCAGCCCCACACCGACCCGCCTCGCAGAGAGCAGCCAGGCGGCTCACACCGAGAGCTCAGGTCCCAGTCGGTCATGGATTACGAAACACGTAGTTTGCATTTAAAACAGGGTTTACGTGTGGAGAGGCGGCCGTTGGCTCCAGGCCTGAGGTGAGTGAGCAGTGACCTTCACTGGAACCAATGATAGGCCAACGACCAAGGACAATATAAATGATACTTTTATTTCTTAAAACCTCAGCATTAAGGATGGATTTGACCTTCTCTGCAGCCATCGCTTTTGTATGAAAAATACTAAAGCATCAGTAGAAGGAGCAGACGCCTCGCTCCTCGCACAGTTGTCTATACACAGAATTCAAACGACCCCCCAACCAAAACCGAATCAATCTCAACATTTGCACAAAAAGTTGCTTTGGTAGATTACTTTTCTCCTGAAGCACAGCAATAAATATCTATAGTAAGACCCACAGAGCCCTTTTCACCGGGTCCCATACAGCAGAAGAACATCGCATTTGCATAAATGTTTGCAGATGAGCGTGCGGTTTACTTTCCCACCTCGCCCGAGCTTGGCCCACAGCCCCAGCACCGCGTAGAGCACATCCGTGTCCAGGCTCCGCCAAGTAAACTTCTTGTTCTACTGAAAAACACAGATGGGTGAACGGACAGGCTTGGCAGACGACAGACAGACAGACGTCTGACCCTCCAGGTGTGGGGTGTGCGGCGGGTCCCGGGAGCGACCCAGCCCCCTTCCAGGGAGCAGCACCGTGAGCCCTGAGCAACCGGGATGTTCCTCCCGAGAGAATCCAGTGCAGCCAGACGTTGTTCATGACAAAAAGCGATGCCTGGTCCTTCACACCAGCCCCGGCCGGATACCGGGCCGCCCACGGCGAGAGCTGGCCGGGGCCCTGGCCCGTGGTCACAGGGCCAAGGACAAAATGGACAAAACGCCGCCCACAGCCGGACGCAGCCCTTAGGGTCCCACCACAGGCGCAGCATCTCGCCCTGAAAACAAAACGCTGGGCATTCTAGAAAGGAGGCACTTCCAGTGTTTTCTACAGTTGCAAGTTTTCTACAGTGAGCAAGTTAACAGTTTCCAAGCAAAATTACGATATCAAGTGACTGAAATCGACCCACACTTTAGGGCATCCTGCAATCTGTAATCAGAACAGCACGACAGGTTTGTAGAAGAAAATACAGATCGATGTTTAAAAGCCCAGCAGTTAAAATAAAACCTCAACACACGCAGCACTGAGTGCACCCACCGTGGACGGGGGCCTCTGCCGGCGGCAGGCAGCGTTCGCTTCTCTAGAATTTGATTTGTTGACAGAATTTTAATTTGAGAAGAAGTTTGATTTTCCAGGATAAACACGACCTGACGCGGCTTTGGCCAGACTCACGGCACCCCGGCTGGCGCGTGTCCATCCCGGCGGCTGCGTTCGGGGTCACCGTCAGCTCCCCGGTGCCACGCGGGAGTCACCGCTGAAAACGGCGGGGCGTGCCAGCGGGTACCCGTGGGGCAGCACCGGAGACTGCATCGCCAGGGGCAGGAGCATGCAGGCACCCGGGCGGTCACAGTGTTTGGAAACTCCTCACCAGGGTGTGAGACCTGGAGAGACTAACAATTCTATTGAAAACACCTGAGACGGCAAACCAAGGCTGGGCGGAAGGAGCCAGAGCGGCAGCGTTAGGCAGATTCTGGGTGACACGCGGCCGAGCCGTCACTCGAGCTCCTCCCAGCTCTCGGTCAGGTGGCCGCGGCTCTGGCGCCGGATGCTGACCAGCCTCCCGGCCGAGCGCAGGCTCCAGACTCCCAGCCCGGCCGGGGTGCCTGGTCGCTCAGGGGACCCGACTCGGCCGCCACGTCTTCAAGAGCAAGCTTGGGGGGCTCCCAGCCCTCGATCTCATCTGGCTTCTTGGACTGTGTGTTCGGCTTTAAGACCAGATTGTCCCAAAACCCAGACTTCTTCTCCGTCTTCAGCTCTTCCTTCAACCGTAAGCTGGTTCTGTGGGAGACAAAGGCGTTGGGTTGGGGTGATGCAGGGGCCTCAGACTCTGTCCATTTTGTACACAGAGGTTCCTTTTCTAAAACCATCGAAGGTGTGTGGGACGCTAATGCCAATCGATGTGTAAAACTTGAAACAGCAAAGTCAACGAGGGAGACTTCGTCCCCACGTGCTGCTGCTGACACGCGTGAGGCTGCCTCTCAGACCCACACGTGGACGTGCACAGAAGGCACGACTGGTGCTCACGGGCCTGCCAGTCGGCAGGAGGGACCCAGGGCCCAGGGCCCAATACGGGGAGGATTCCTTTTATCCCCCGGGGTCCCCAGAGCCCCAGCCAGCACACGGGGCCCCAGGAGACGAGGCCCAGGGGACCCACACACAGGACCCGCCTCCCAGGGAAGCAGGTGGTCATGGCGACACCGGCCCGTGAAGTGAAGCGAAGCAGCTCTGGGTCGCGGCTCTGGTGCCAGGGGAGGTGGGCCCTGGTCTGCAGCCTCCACGCTCCTCTGCCTGAGGCTCCGCTGCCCCCGGGAGGCCTTCCCGAAGCCCTGGCCTCTGCTCCCCAGACATCAGGGGGCCCTGCGCACCTTCCTCATAGGGGCGGGGCCTGAGGTGTCACCTGACGGGCCTGCTCTCCCCACGTGACGGAGGGACGGGTGGTGGGGCCGTGAGGAGGGGCGACCCACGGGGCCTGGCCTGGCCTGTGGCCCGCGTCCCCCCTCCCGCAGGGACTTACCCCCTGGACTTGGGAGATCTGCATCTTCCCAGCAGGTGCTCCTCGTCGTCGTCACTGAACAGCGAGGTCACTTCCTTCCACCCTCGGAAACCTGCGCCCTGCACCAACAAAGGTCAGGAGAGGTCAGGTCCGCAGCAAGCACACAGACTGGGTTTGGTAACAAGCTGTGGAGCTGGGTCCCGTCCCCTGGGGTCTCGGCTCCTCCTCCCTCAGCGGCAGATGATCTTTGCCATCCTGCTGTGAGGACAATCACTGCCCATCCTTGCCCTGCCCCCACCCAGGTGGGCGGCCAAGCTGTGACCCCAGAACGGTTCCCTGGAGGTCAGAGGCCCTGCCAACCCACGGGAGGCTGCAGAGGGAAGGCCTGGTGTCCATCCTGGGACGCCTCGTTTCTGCCGTCGGGGTGAGTCCTGTGCCAACCCCAGCCTCTCGGACCCAGGGCAGGCGCTGTCAGAGCAGGGCCGGGAAAGGGAGAGACTCCGAGAGTCCGCCAGGTGCCTCCTGCAGCCACTCTGTGGGTGGTTCTCTATCAGGATGGGAAGGGAGGGGAGCAGAGGGCGGCTCCCCTGGGGCAGACCTCGCTTACAGAACTCTGAGATGTTCCTGTTGCAACATGAAAGGCAAGGGAACGAGGGCTGTGTGTCAGGCTCCTGAGGTCACCCCGGGCCACCCAGGGCCAGGGAGTGAGAGCTCAACGTCGTCCCCAAAAGCTAACCCGGAGGCCACCCCTGGGGCCAGGCTCGCGACCGTGGGTCCCGGATGGACGAGGACCTGGCAGATGGTGTGTGACCACCTGAGAGCCCCGTCCTGTCCCTGCAGAGCCAGGCAGGAGTGTGTGCCAGTCCCATGCCCTGCGCCCTGTGCCCCACGAGGGCCCACCCGCCCTCGGTCTGAGCAGCCCCGGGGGCCACGCCGACCGCCACCAGCAGCCGAAGCCGTGTTTACACACTCGAGCCTGCGACAAAGCCCCGCCTGTGTCCCGGCTGCCGGAGCCCCGGCTCCAGACAACGATCCAAACACAGACTCTACCCGAGCGAGAGCAGCCACGGGACACTGAGGGCGACACATGGAAACAGGACACCGAGGACCTGAGAAGCAGGAACGGCCGCAGAGGACGAGGGACCGCGGTGCCCACTCCGGGCGGTCCCTGTGCCCTCACCCTCCTGCCCAGATCGCACGGGCCCCGCTCCGGGCGGTCCCTATGCCCTCACCCCTCCCGCCCAGATCCCACGGAACATCAGCGCGTAGCACAAGCTGCTTACGCGTGTACAGCTCCAAGTATTTAGGCTCACAGGCCAGGAGTGAAGTTAAAGCTTTAGGTCAGGCCAACCGGTGTTACTGGGGAAACTTGTTCCACCGAAGACGCCTGTGGCGCTCGCGTGGGGCTTGGTCTCCGTGGGGTGTGAGAGGTGCTGCCCGTGTGTGCCGGGCCCACAAGAACTACGCGGCCCCATCCGCAGTCACTGCAGGGTCACGCGCTTCCTTGCGTGGCTGACAGGTGAGCGTGTGGAACCCGCCACGTGAAGCCGGGGGCCACGTCTGCCTCCGGTTGCTAAGGCAGTAGCCGCCGAAAAAAAGCTGTGCATCCAGGTCCCCGGGCCTCGGAGACGAGCCGCCACCAGAGCACAGACCCTGCCTCCCTGTCACCCATCCCGCGGGCTCCCCGCCCCCACACGGGCTCCCCTCCTGCCCCCCCGACCCAAACGCACGAGAGGAGTGAGAATGGCTCTTCCCCGGACCATTTCAGCTCTTGCTCCGTGCACGTCGCCAGCTTGGCCCACATATACCCCCTGAACCCCCGCAGCGTCGGCCGCGTGACCCTCAACAAAGGCACCGCCTGTGCCCCCAGGGGGCGTGGTGACGACTGTCCCCTCGGCCTGGAGCCCTGCGGATGGGGTTCTCGCAGGCAGAGGAGGAGCGCTGAGGCGAGGCTTCCGGGCGGGCGAGGTCCCCGCCCCGCCCAGCTCTCCTCCTGCCCACGCTGAAGGGCAGAGCGCACCAGGCTGACTGTGGGCTGCGTCTAGAGAACGGGCTCCACCCCGTGCAGGAGGCGGGCCACCCATGGAACCTGATCCCAGGCTCTTGTCAGGTGAGAGCTGCCCAGCGGGGAGTGGAGGCCCCGGGCCCAGAGCCCCAAGGAGGACCTCCCAGCAGGAAGGGGCACCTGGGCAGGAGGGTGCCCGCTGCCCGAGCCTGTTCGTCCGTCGGTCTGTCTGCTCAGGGGCCACGGGCACACGCCAGGCACACGCCTGCAGAGGCCACGGGCACACGCCAGGCACACGCCTGTAGAGGCCACGGGCAGCCTCCTTCCTCCTGCGGGCGGCGCCGGC